GGAAAACGTGTCGTCTATGTTGACGGAAAGGTGAAATTGCTATATGCTCAATATTCACTATAATATAATTATGTAAGTGCATTTCCATATAGAACAGACAAAAGACTACTACGTGAGGTGTATTCACTTGGCTAACTTTGCCTCATGTAATGAACAGCATTCCATCAGAAGAGGGCTGGCCAGCAGGGACAAGGAGGTGATTGTCCCTCTCTGCTCTTGTGAGGCCCCATCTGGAGCACTGTGTCCAGGTCTGGAGCCCCCAGTACAAGAAAGACAGAGCTGTTGGAGAGGGTCTAGAGAAGAGCCACAAAGATGATCAGGGGACTGGAGCACCTCCCCTACAAAGACGGGCTGAGGGAGCTGATCTTGTTCAGTCTGGAGAAAAGAAGGCTGCAGGGTGACCTGATTGCAGCCTTTCAGTACCTAAAGGAAGCCTATAAACAGGAGGGGAATCAACTCTTTGAAATGGTAGATAACAGCAGGACAAGGAGAAATGGTTTTAAGTTGAGGGAGGGGAGATTTAGGTTGGATTTAGGGGGAAGTTCTTTACAAAGAGAGTGGTGAGGTGCTGGAACAGGCTGCCCAGAGAGGTTGTGGATGCCCCATCCCTAGAGGTGTTCAGGGCCAGACTGGATGGGGCCCTGGGCAGCCTGGTCTGGTATTGACTGGGGAGGTTGGTGGCCCTGCATGTGGCAGGGGGGATGGAGATTCGTGATCCTTGAGGTCCCTTCCAACCCTGGCCATTCTGTGATTCTGTGAACATCATTCTTGTCTCAGTTACAGTTAAGGTGTGAGTATCATGAAGTGCTTTGCCATCCTTGGGCAGAAGTGTTCTGTATTTGTAAAGCGTTGCATGTTTGTACCTTGAGGAAAGAGGACAGTTAAGTACTGAGCTGTTTCCTGAGTTCTGGTGCGCTTTTCTGAAATACTAAAACACTTTCTCAGGTTTGTCAGTTAATACCTATTGTCTGTGTTTTCTTCTACAGGAAGAAATACGAAAAGAATGGATGTTTAAATTGGTGGGTAAAGAAACATTCACTGTTGGAGCATCCAAAACAAGAGCTACAATTAACATTGATGCAGTCAGTGGCTTTGCATATGAGTATACTTTGGAGATCAATGGAAAAAGCCTCAAGAAATATATGGAGAACAGGTCAAAAACAACCAATACTTGGGTACTGAGCTTGGGTGGTACAGACTATAGAGTTGTTTTGGGTAAGTAAATATGGAATGACTTTACTTTGCTGTTTTCAAAAAAGCCTGTATGCATTTAGCAATTGGTAATTAAAAGAAAGCACAGTTCAGTGGTGTATGGAAACAGTTCAGTCATGACCTGAATCACTGAGCATCTGTGGAAAGGACCCGGTCAGCCATGGGAGCACAGGTGAAGGTAATTCAGGTGTGCAACTGAAAGGGGTAGAGCCTGGCTGCACATCTCTTAGACCTCATTTAAGGGCTGACTGCCATGGGGGAAGGATCCCTTTCTGGAGATTCTTCTTGGGTGAAGCTTTTCCCTGTGAACCTAGAGTCTTCTGATACGGGTGAGCAATCTTTTTCCTTTTCTTTATAGCACCTTTCTATTGTGCTGGTTTTTCTGTCATCATACCTTTGTTGCAGTGCCTTTCCTATTGTACTGATCTGTCCAATTGCTACAAGTGGCTAGTGCTATTGCAGTGTAAAACCTTGTGTGGTCTGGAGAACACTGGAAGTAGATTCCAAAGACAGAAAAATGGTAATCTTGTTATATCTATGTAGTTTTGTACAGCACTGTTGTTTGTTAACTCAGTAACGGGGATTTCCCTTAAAAACAATAAACCGAAGTTAAGGAGTCATGAAAAGAAGTGTGTCAGTGTCACTCTTTGTTTTTTTTATAGACTAATCAGCATGCTGTTTTCTGCACTGCTGCTTAACTGTGAACTTAATCCATAACCTTCAGATAATGTTTTTATACTTTCTTTGTTGCAAGGTTATACTCTTTTTTTCCTTTGCTCCCTTGCCCAAAGTATGTTAGAAGATGGGAGGAAGGATCCACAGGGGAATTTGTCCAGGCATCTAGTGATGAAACTTCCACTTAAGTATTGCTGTATACATGGGCACAAGACAAGCTGGACTGTGGTTTCTTTATGAGCCTAAGGATAGAATGAACTGCCCTGAGATAAAGATGCTGGGGGGAAAGAAAGGCAGTTCCAGTGCCAAGAGATAGCCTAGTATCCTTCTCTCCATAATTACTTAAAAGACAAGCAGTACTCTGCTGTCTGTTATGTCACAAGGACATTTTCTGTAATGTTAATTTTAGAGTCGAGTATTTATTCATAGCAAAAATTGTTTGCCCACTGGTGGCAGAGCCTTCTGTCTCTCCAATGTAAGAGCAAACTGTGTAGCTCAGGTTATTTAGGACCTTCTCCGGGGAATTAAATATAACATCAAAGAGTAAGCTTGTAAAATCCTTAGATTGTCCTAGGAGAAGAGGGGAGAGTCCTTTCTACTTTATTTTTTCTTTCATTCACAGAAAAGGACACTATGGATGTGTGGTGCAACGGTAAAAAAATGGAGACAGCGGTACGTGATCATTTCCACAGGTTTTTCATAGACTATGGCTCTAATATAACCAAAGTAAGCCACAGTGCTTATCTGTGTCATGCTCACTAAGCCACAGCAAGGAGTATGTTGCTTCACTTGGGTGTGGAGCGTGGGTAAACCTCTAGACCTGCATGCTGATGATCTGTTCTTTGCTGTATTTATTAACAGAATCCTTTGTCTCCTGGATTACCTGTTAAGATGCCCAAAGTCTGTCCGTATAAGGATATACAGTGCTATACTTCTCGGACAAATGAATCTTCTGGGTCAGTTGTCCAGGGTTTCTACTGAGAAAATGCTCAGGAGAGTGGGAGGGACTTAAGTTTGATGTGGACTGTAGAGCCACCTCAACCAGACCTGCTCACCTTAGTGGTAACTGAAAGCTGAACACCTGTGCTCTTTAATTTTAATTGATTTTTGTCCATTTAGAGACGATCCCTAAGCACCTCGGGCTTAGTTCATGTTGCTGGAGCAAATAAAATCTTTGTCACATCTGCATTAATATGCATAGCAGATAGACACTTAAAAATCTTAATATATTTGATGTCTTTTCATTTTATGAAGGTTTTCATTATGCATACTATGTAAGCTTCCCCATCCCTAGAGGGTGCATTTTCTCACCGGAGCTGGCACTATGGTGAATGCATACTCCAAAATGAGAAGTTAGGTAACTGCATCTACAAACTACAAAGGGGAAGTTAGGAGCTGTGCATCTAAACTGCACAGCATGTACTCAATTTGGGGATCTGTTCATCCTGCTGCAGAGGGCACCAGCAAACTGATGGTGTGAAACGTTGGTTGTCCTTTGAAAACCCAAACTCTTTAACTGGCAGCCTGAAGCTCTGCAGCTTTGCTGAGCAGCTGCCTATGGCTGCAGTGATTATGAGAGCTGCACGTGACCATGACCTGGAAACAGGTGATGCTTTGAGTGGTTGTTTTACTGAAAAGGGCATCTGTTTTTATTCTTGTCTCCTTTCTTCTAGGGTGAATTCGTAGAAGATGGGACAGAAACTCACTTCAGTGTTGGTGATCACAGCTGTTACATTAAGGCTGTCAGTAGTGGAAAACGAAAGGAAGGAATTATTCACACTCTTATTGTGGATGACAGAGAGATCCCAGAGGCTGTGGAGTAGCTTCTAGTTAACTGATTGTTTTAGGTCTCAGATCAGGTACTTTTAATTACTGTGGTAATTATTTAAATAAGAGGCATTTGGATAATGCCCTCAATAACACACCTCAGCTTTCAGTTAGCCATGCAGTGGTCAGGCACTTGGACATACAGATCATTGTAGGTTCCTTCCAGCTGAACTATTCTACTGCATGTAGAACACATGGTACATCTAGTTTGTGCTGGGTTCATTTCCTAGCTTCTGTACATGAAACTCATCTTTTTGAGGACCAGATAAACATAACTATGTACAACACTTTGCATTACCAGTTTTTAAAAAGCTACATAGGGAAATAAGTATTATATCGCTAAGTAGAGAGGGCAGGTGAACTTAAGTAGAAATTGTATGCTAGAAAAAAAAACCCACAATATTCAATAATACTGAATACTTTATATGGAGGGAGAACACATGCTGAGCACTGGAGAAAGCTGTTAAAATTCTCCCTATTTTTTCTTTTATGTACTTCCAATGTTCTTCAAATGCAGTCAGTTACATAAATTAATAAAAAAGGTTATTAAAGAAATATATTTTTTACCAGTCCTTGTGTAACTGTATTCAAATTTTACTCAGCTATGAAAACTGTTGTTTATTCACAGTAGGAAGTAAGGTGATATGCTGTGCCAAAAATATCCCAAAGGTATTTTGTAAAATGATGTTTGTTCTGAAGTTCTGTACCCTCCCATCCAACCAAACAAGAAGTTTTCTGCCACGGTCCTCCTTTAAAAAATGAAACCTCTTGAGGCAAGCTGACATTAGAACCTCTTCACTGTAGCCTAACCTTTAATCTAGAGCTGTCTGTAGGTAATTGTGTGTGGCAATTCTGGCAGTTGTGTGTGAATAAGGAAACGAGGAAATGCAGGTCAGAACTGGAGAAGAACTGACTGCTGTAATGGGAAAGTTAAGACAGGAACAGAATATTCTCAAATTCCAGCTGCCTCAGGTGGTTTTTAGAAGCTATGTGTGGGGGAGGCACGAGGCACACTGCCACTTAACATTGCCTTAGGCTCACCTTACAAAAGGGACCTGTTTTGTGACAGTGCAGACATAAGTCACTTTTAAAAAATAATGGTTTTATTTAAGAGTAACATTTTGCAGCGGTCCAAAAAACTTTTTCCACTTAAGACTTTCTCCCTCCAGACTTCAGAATTAGACTTTTATAACTTATTTTCTTTGGGGTTTGTGACCATTATGAATGCTATTTCAGGGACTGCAAGTAAAATACAAATGTGCTTGGAACTCATTAGCAATTTTAAAAAAAAATATCTTATTTAAACATGGATCACATCTATGTTTTAGGGTTCAGAAGCTCTGTTAGCACAATCTCATGGGCTTTTTTAATAGTTTTGTGCAGGCCCTTCTCCCCAGATAATTAGAGTTTTAACCATATGTGACTTTTCAGTCTAAAAGCAGACCTGATGTTGACTGACAAGCATTATTTCTGCATTACACCACTGTTACACCACTGTTACAACCAGATGAGGTGTTCAGATGAACCATAAATAATGGGTTTAAATTCTTTGGATTGTACAACTCACAAAACTGTGGAATGGCAAATCTGCTAATAGCTTTTAGTTTCAGACAGTGGATTTGTTTTAAACTCTCCTAACGCCAGATGTAACTTCAGGCTTTACTGCAGAAAGTTTTAGAATTCCTGAGAGCTGGACTGAATCCTTTTAAATTGAAATTAGAATAATAGCTCTTGGGCATTTACTGCCTTCAAGTTGCTGTGGAAGTAGTGTGGACGTACCTAGCTATGGTAAGGATGAAATGATCTCTACAACATATCAGTAAGGCACCTTATTGGAGAGCAATTTGGAGTCGTGGTTTGAACTATTTCTCTACCTGTGTGGTAGCCATTCAAAAAGATTGAACAGCACTGGGAAATCTCAACCTCAAATATGGTTCAAGTCCCATCTTTAAATACTATGAGGAAAAATAACAGATAAGCTGATAGTATTATTTGTACTATTTATTTTGAATATATGAATCTATACTGCTTCAACTCTCTTAACTAATAAAAACTAATAGCAACTACCGTTAGAAATCTTGAAGAACTGCCTCACGTTTGTCGTAACTTTACTGAACAACAAATCCTGAGGTGGAAAACAGCATTCATTGGATGCTTTCACACATCACAGTGCATTCCCAAGTGTAAGAATCAAACCAACCTGGATTTCTTGGGTTTCAAAACTATATGCAGTACCTTTAGATTAAGACAGTGTTATGAAAGAAAGAAAATGCAAACCTGTAATAGATAGTCACATGCTTCACATGCTAAGAATACTATAAGACATATAAACAATTTTAAACTAGTTTATGATGTTTTCCATTCGTTTTTAACTCTAGATCACTTTGTCCTAATCTCCTTAATCTTATCAGCTTACTTTTCCTCAAGGCTGTTTCAGAGCTGTCAAGAGGCCCTTAGATCACAGCATGTGAGTAGGCAGAGCACCCTCTTGAAATCTAAGCAGTAGAGTTTGTTCTGAGGGGGGCATCCCAAGAGCCACAGTTCTGACTAATTTCTCCTCAGGTCGCTGCTGGTTTCCTCAGAGGTCCGTGGGACTCTCCTTCACCTGGGAGCAAGTCAGCAAATAACATGGAAGGGCTTGAAGACTGTTGCAAATGACAAAGGTGTCAGGATTGCTTATATCATCTACTAAGCTGTCATAAAACATACTGGCATCTCCTTCCACTGCTGGTGGCATAATGTAAGACTGCTTGCCTTTAGTGTATAGCCCTGTTAGTACATCAGCCTCAAACACATAGATTTTAGAGTCTGTTTCCTTCCCGTCATCCTCGATTAGGCTGTTTGGGTTCCTTTTGAAGTAGATGCCAGCTCCGTATCTTTGGTCTGGAAAAGAAACAAAAAAAATATTAAGGAAAAAAGTCTTTAACATTTGGTTCTTTTTGGAGTGGTAGCACTGAAAGTTTGCTTCTCATCAGGCTGCTGAATATGTGCATGTGCAGCAAGTAAACAGAGATTTGGACCTTCTTTAAAGACTGCTGCAACAAAGTAAAACTTGGCCGTGGCATTATTTGTACGTTAACAATTTTGCAAACATTGGTTGGGTTAGAAAGGAATCCAGGTATATCTTCCCAGAGCCTTGCTGACTGCAGTGTCAGGACAGAAAGCAGTAAGCTCATAAGACTCTTAATGCTGGTAAGCAGCAGTTCTGGTGCAGCATAGTCGTTATTTCTGATTTTAATCCAACTTCAGCTGTCAGTCACTGTTTGTTTTGATTAAAGATGTCGAGGCAAATTTTATTACCTGTTGGTGGAGAATATATCCTGTGAAATCCAGTTTGGCATACCAAGGTACAGAACTGAGCAGGAACACGCTGGTATAACTTGTGGGAGCCTTTGGAGGTAACTCCTTTTTCTTCTAGATTTTTTTTCATTTGTTGGAATGCAGCAGATAGAAGGGGATTGTGTATTTTTTCAATCTGTAACACAAATAAGCAAACAGACAATTACCCATGAATGTGCAAGTGCTCTTGTTCTCCAATGTAAGAAACTGCACTCCAATGCACTCCAATGTAAGAAACTGATTTGGGTTGTATACATTGAGCAGCAAGCAGGTAAGATATCTGAAGCGTGCAGCCAATCCCAAAAAGAACCATGCCACTATCCAACACCTCTCACTGAAGTCAGTTGAAAGCAGTGAATATATGTTTTGAGAACTTGCATTAAGTTCAGATATATCAGTTGAGATTTAATTTTGCCATGTATGCCTTATTTACCTTAAGGATGTGAAGCCCAGTCCTTTCAAACTGTTTCTGTCTGTCCTTAAATGCCTGAAGGTGTGAGTCTACCTGTAGCATCTGAAACTGTCCAGTAGAGTTTGTCTTGTCAAGGTGTCCTTCTGAAAGCTGATCTGTGTCTGGTTGGCCTGGAAACAAATAAGGAAGTAAACCAGTTATGGTAATAGCTGAAGCAAAGGCAATGTGGAAGGTTCCAATACTCCTTTTGGTAGTTCAGTGAAGAACAAGGAATGTTAAATATTCTTCGAAGTAATGCCAGAGATTAATATTGAGAGGAAACTATGTGTATATTCATAATATTGTTGCTGTGAGTTGCTGAGGGCATAAAGCTAGCAACTGGGCTTTCAAGGGCTTGTATGGTGAAAGCATGGTATTATCAGCAGTTAACCTAGTGTTCAGTGTATATGTGAATTGAGTGCATGTCTGTCCACTCTCAGCAATACACAGGTATAAGCTGCTGCTTAATTTACCTTATTTATGTGCTTATTTACTTAATCACTGGTTGACTTTACACACCCGTTAGTTGCAGCAGTTCCTCTTGTTTGGCTGTAGTATGCTTTTGCATAAAAAGCAGTAATTTTTCAGTTGCGAGCACTGCATCAATCACAGCATCTGGGGGTCCGTGAAATTCCAGGCTTGCTTTCCCATCTTTCACTTTTTCTGACACAGACACACTAGAATGTTTCACTCGAGATAGTTCTGCATATTCCTTTGTACCAAGGCTAAAAATGTAGTTGTTTTCAATGACAGCAGAGTGACTTTCCTGAGTTTGTATCAAGCTTTGGATCCATAATTCTGCTGCTTTCAGTGTGAAATGTGTCTTCCCCTGAAGTTCAATGGCCAGTTTATTATCTGTAGTCTCCTTTATGCCTTGACTGCTTGACTCTGTACCTGGAACAAAAGAGTGAAGAACTTTCAAGTGCTGTCATCACAAATTCTTATATGTAATCCCAAGTGTGCAGTCAAGAAACATTCTGTTCTTCTGATCTGCTCAAAAAGGTGGTTAGATACCAGAAGATTTCCTTGAAAACAACAAAGCAACACATAGAATTTTGTGGGTTTTTTTTGCATTCCTTTAAATGAATCCAACAGGTTTGGCTTGGGCTGGTGTTTTTTTTTTTTTTTTTTTTTTTTTTGCTTGAAAGACTTCTAAAGAAGTGACCAGCTTCATTCCTGTCAATGTAAAAATGACAGGTCTCAAGTGATACTGACAAGTAATGCCAAAATTAACAATGACAGCATATCCTTGTGAAATTTTGCTTTGGAACAGTAAGATATCTGGTATATTTTTTTCATAAGCAGGAAGTAATCTGTGCTGTTACACACTTTATTCATACATATCCTATATTATGGCTGAAGTGACTGCATGACTTCTCTGTTCAAACTTTTCCTACAGCAGTTACATCACTTTGGTGACTTCTAATCAAACATAAAGGAACTTCTCTGAACTGAAAATTTAGCCATAAGGTGATCCATCACATGCAGTCATCAACTCCACTGACTGCCATCAAGGTCCTAGCCAAAAGCAGAGCTATAACAGAAACCCTTGGTAGTAAGCCAAGGGACTTGTGTCTTGGCGCTGTATTTCTCACATGCTCACATCTTCTTTGCTTGTGACAATTAATGCAGTTACTAAGTTGTTTGTAAAGGAATGTGATTTCAGATCCTTAGATCTGGTCTGCTCATTCACTTGAAACACCCCCTCTGTTCATTACTTACTCAAATAATCACTTCTGTTGTTATTCTTTTCCAGTTTGCTTGCTGCTAAATTCATTTTTTCCTGGAAAATCTTGAAAGAGAAAAGTTTAGGAGCAGTTTGCAACCTATTAGTCTCTTCAGCAATCTGTTAGATAAGCAGTTGGCAGTTGTAAGCAATTCTGATGTTACAGCTAATATTTGTCAGCTTTAGCCAGAATTTTATTTCTGACTCTTCAAATGCGCTGTTGCAATTCCAAGTCCCTTAAGGTAACACATGCACACATTAAACAGCACCTTTCCCAGTCCCCCATGGCTCTGGTGTGGAGCCTCACAATGGAGCTCACAAAGCCACAGCAGATGTAATTACATTATTTGCAGGTTAATGTTAATGAATCTTTACTCAGCTTTAAAACAGAGTGTGCCCCCTTCCTTTGCCCCAACACTCCTCATTATGGAAGTTTATGAGAAGCCCTTCTCTGATAGAGACTTCAAACAAAAATATCCCTCAAAGAAATGTGCTGATGAAGAATATGCTTACTCCCTAACTAGCATAGTTAAGAGTAGACTCCTTGCCATAGAACTGCTGGCAGATGTGACATATTCAGAGCTCTCTCTCCCTACTATCAGGTCACAGGGTGATGACAGGTTAGTGAGGAAAAATATTTGTGAAGAATAATATCTCATGCTGAGAGGCAAGTCGTTTGCTGAGGAAATAGCCACTCACAAGTATTACAAATAGCATGGGATTCACATTATTTTAGCTTGTAGTCATCTGGAATATTTTTACAGTTATTTTGGGTTCAACTTATCGGTAGTTAGTAAGAAATGTATTACTTGATAGGTAGCGTTGTCATCTGGGCAAAGGACGAACTGCACATCTATTTTCTTCTCAGGATATTTCCTGGCAAATTCTAACACCTCTTCAATCATGGTCTCTGCCACCGTAGCCTCAGGCAGCATCAGTGACCAATTCTTTTCTGGAAAGGAAATTGAGGGCGATGGATAATCCCGAACAAAACACAGGCAATTGTTAACTGCCTCCTTCAGTTGCTGCAGGAAAAAGAAGTGGTTTAGTCCTCACATCACTCAATGTTAAAATCTTCAATCAAAATCCAGTCTAACTGATCCTCACCTCGCACAGTAGTACCACGTGGTTAAATTGCGGCCATATGACGTGAAGTACAAACTCACAGGGTAGATGATACCCTTTTGTTACTATTATCTCCTTATAATAGGAGAAATGCTTCAGCTGAGACAGAATTTCCTCCTGAAGGGCTGGGCCTGCTTTTTGCAGCATTGGCGTTGAGATCTGAGAGCAAAACGTGCCATCCAAAGACACAGAGCTAACAATAGCTGTAGTCTAGAAGGAAAGAATTCAAAGTTTCAGGAAACTTCAAGTTTACTACTTGTAAGCTTAGAATAAAGGTACCTCTTTAATGTAAGTTACGTTTACTAAAAGCAAATGCTCTTCCTGTGATGCAGCTGTCAGTCCAATGCCTCTGTTGGAATACTATGACTAAGCTCACATCTTTTGCATCAAATTTTCTGTCCAGCAAATTAAATGCATCAATTTGAATGTTGCACTGTTTAAAGGTAAGGTGCACATCATCGCCTTGCAAGTTATTTTCAGCTGACAGCTGTAAGAATATAACATACAGAAGACAGAATTAACTTCTAGGGAATGCGTGGTAAAACGAGAACTCCTACGATGTTATTAGAAGATTAAACATAATATATTTATTACTAATCATCCAGTATTTTGCTGCTTACTGTAATCCCATAGTAGCATGTATGCTAGCAAGAAACAATGCTATTAGAAACAATTCTAATGCTCAGTACCCATTTTAAATAATAACTGTTTGTGGACAGCATTTTTTTACCCTTTCTAAATTCTCATCAAACTGAGTGGGCCAGTACAACGCGTGTTCTGCCCTGTGAGGTTCCAAAGCCTGCAGAGGCTTGGAGGCAGCTCTGTGTTCGTCATGTTGCAGGACAGACTTACCCTTTGCTCTTCAACGTGTCCCTTTATGATACGCAATTGAGTATTTCCATGTTTGATGACAGGTGCAGGCAGGCTTAGTGAAGCTGGAACAGTCTCCTGCAGCGAGCTGCCTTCACCCAGAAACATCTCACAGGCCCTTTTTATTTCTGCTACCGTACGCTCACAGATGTTCACCAGATGGATCTCCTTGAGGCAGCTTGGCGTGGTCTCAACAAATAGCTTTATAGATATTACAATCACTTGAGCACACAAGTTAAGTGGGAAGCCAAAAACCCCTGAGCTCATTGCTGGGATAGCCACAGACTTGATGTTGTTTTTTGGGTCACTGGCGTACTTCAGAACATTCACAACAGCTTCCTCAAGTAGAACGCAACATTTATCCTTTTCACATGGGTACCACCTTGGACCAACGGCGTGGATAATTTTCTTACACGGAAGTTTCCCTCCACCTGTCACTGCTATTTTGCCAGTTGCGACTTTTCCATATTTTCTAATAAGACTTCTGCTTTCCTCTACTATTTCTGGCCCTCCGGCATTCACAAGAGCTAAAGCAAGACCTCCTAAATGGTCCAGGCTTTCACTGGCTGCATTCACCACAGCGTCGACCTTGTGACTTGTCAGATCAGCCTTATAGACCGACAGGTGAATTCCCTGCGTTAATACTTTTCTGTATACTTCAGCAGCACATTTTGTACAGGTCACTGTACAGGCAAACTTTTTATAAGTGAGATTACGTAGACTGTTCTCTCTTTTCTTAAGAACTTCATAAGTATCTTTATTGATGGGGATTGTCACGGTGCCCTCATCCATTCTTGGCCCTAGGACATAGAATAATATAAACTCAGATCCAATAAACCACTGACAAAACTTTTTATACGTACACGAAAGCATTTTAGAGCTCCACATTTTATTATTGTCATTGCACACCAGTATTTTTTTATAGTATGATCTTTCAGGTGAGCTCTCACAGCACAGAGCAGAGAGGCAGGATCCCCTCCCTCGGCCTGCTGGCCGCTCTGCTTTTGATGCAGCCCAGGACACGGTTGGCTTTCTGGGCCACGAGGGCACACTGCTGGCTCATGTCCAGCTGCCATCCACCAGTACATCCAGGTCCTTTTCAGCAGGGCTGCGCTCTGTCCTTTCGTCCCCCAGCTGGTATTGGCCCTTAGCTCTGTTGAACCTCGTGCAGTTCTCCTGGGCCCACTGCTCCAACCTGTCTAGGACTCTCCGTGCTGCTTTCAGCTGTTCCATGACATCGCTTTCCAGTTGCAATTTTCAGTGAAACACAGCTGCCAGATGGCAAAGGGAGAGGCTTACCTGGACCGCGCTTGTCTTCCGGGCTCTCTGACTGTTGGCTCTGCCAGGAAAACAGCACAGAGAAAATACGTTACCGTACACGGCACCGAAGCCGCGCGGTGGGCACGCGGAGCCGGGCAGTTTCACCTCCCCAGGACAGCGGCGCTGCTCCGCAGCCCGAAGCCCAGGCGTTCCTTGGGGCGCGGCGAAACGCGGAGCCGGGCCGGGAGAACCGCCTCTCAGCCGCAGGTGAAGCTCCTCAGGCTGCACCACCCCCAGGCGGAAGCGGCCTCGGATGGCCGTTCTGCAGCCCGGGCCGGCTGTGTCCCTTCTGCGCCCAGCAGCTACGCGCGGCACCCGCCCGCCCTCCCGCCGCCCCGCACCCGGCTCGGCCCTCACCGGCCGCGGGCTGCTCGGCTCCCCGGGCCGCTCTCCTACCTTGTAGATGCCCGTCACCTCAGCGTCGCCGCCGCTCTCCGGAGGAAAGAGGCCCGGGGCGGGGAACCGAGGGAAACGAAAGCGAAAGCGGGCGCCGGTCGGTCGGCACCATGGCGGTACCGCTGCTGGTGCGGCTCTGCCCCGCGCCCGACGGCGGAGAGAAGGCGATGCTGAAGCTGCAGAGCTACTTCCAGTCCCCCAAGCGCTCGGGGGGCGGCGAGTGCGAGGTGCGGGCCGGCCCCGAACCCGGCACCTATCGGGTGTACTTCCAGCACGAGCAAGGTACGGCCGGGCGGGGGGTGCGGCATGGCCGCCGAGAGGCACCATCTTGTGGGTGGGCGAAGGGTCCCCGCCGCCCTTCTCACGAGGCTTTATCGCACCTCCAACGCCCGCAGATAAGCAGAGAGTGGAGTCCCGCGCGGATCACGTCTTGGAGCTGGGGGGCAAAGTGCTGAAGGTCATCCTGCAGCCCTTGGAAGGGGCTCGGAGCAAAAGCCCCGCCGTGGTGCAGGCAGACCGCGGCCAAGCCCAGCACCTCTCCCCGCCGGGATCTGCGGAGCTGCGAGCGACTCAGGGACACCGGGATGGAGCAGCAGAAGTGCTGACCAAAAAGGTACATCGGGGAGAGCCGTGCGGAGCAGCACCGCTGTGCCGCCGGTGTCCTGCACGGCCGGGAGGGAACGCCGAGTGCTTTATCGTGCTGCTCTCCATCACGGTTCAGTGTGTCGGAGCACAGCTCACCCGTGGTGGCTTTGTCAATACAGTGGGGAGCGACTTCGGAGTGCTCTGCCACAACCCATCTGCACGTCAGCACAAAGCACGTTCCCTAGCATGGTTTTGGCATTGTCAGGTTTGGCACAGCAAAGACTGCTCCCAGTGGTGAGACCTCTAAAACTATGGCAGAGTACCTCAGTCTTACAAAAAACCTGCTCTCGCAGACAACAAATGGCCTTTCAGACCCTTTGAACTAAAAGTCATGCAGGAGAGATCAGCTGTGTCCCGGGGTAAGCCATAGAGCTGTACTCTGTGCTGTGTGAGGCTGCCATGGCTCTGTCAAGATGGATATCTGGCCCACAGAGCTTGTCCTGCTCTGCATAGTAGCATAGATGAAGCTTTTGGAGCATGGCGTGTAGAACATATCATAACTACTTACGTGCACATCATTTTTGTATACCCGACATAAAAGAAACACTATACAAGTTTGTCAGTACTAATGTGGCCCCATGCAAAGTTGCATTGAGCTTTTCCTTACTCAGAACTTAGAAGTACCAAGCTGAGAACCTTAGGAAACGTGTGTGTGTATATATATATATGTATATATATATATAGATATCTTCTTGTCTTCTCTTCAGATTTTTCTTACAGTGTCCGCAGTGTTGAATACCAGAATGTTCACTGAACAGCAAAGGGAGAGAATTGCTATTATTTGTCCAAACTTAAGAAGAGAAGGAAATCCTGACGTTGATGGCTCTGAGAAACTGACAGGAGATTATACAGATATCGAAAAAGCTTATTGTTACTTTAAAGACGTCCTTGCAGGCAACGACCAACACTATGATTTCCTGCATTCTGAAAGTAAGAAAGGTTTGGAAGATGAAAATGGTCTGAATACCAAAGAAATGAATACACTTACAGTTCCATCAGCTATCTATGAATATTTCTGTCATACATGCAAAGAACAGATTAAAGAAATGCATAAACGTTTTGGAGTGTGGGTAAAAAGTAAGGATTGTTACAATGGGAACACATCAATATCCTTCCTTTCTGATACAAGTCCCACGTCAATACGAAGAGCTATTGATTTTTTTACCAGCGCTTTTCAGAAGGTTGCCAAAGATGTGGCACAGGAAGACATTCCCATAGCAAACATTCACCAGTTAGATGAGACAATAATGAAATTAAATGCTAAATTTACTAATCTTCTTGTCAAACAGAAAGATAATCAGTTGCTCCTCCGTGGTCCAAGAAATGAGATTTTAGCTGCCAAAATATTTCTAGCAGAGGAAAAGAGGAAAAACCAAGATGAAAAGGATACCAAAATACCTGAACTGACCACCAACGGGAATAGAATTGAAGTTGATGCTTCTTTGTTTAAGCTATTGGCACCTGTGTTGAGAAAAGAAATTGAAGACATTGAAGAAAGCTTTGATGTTGTAATAGAAAAGACAGACAGCTCAGGTGGCCAGAAGGTGCTCTTAGTATTTAAACCTAGGAACAAAACTTCTGATATGCTTTTACATTCTATTGAAAGTTTCATCAATAGATTTCAGAATGCCTTTGCAATGCTAAGAAAAAAACTTGTCAGCTGGAAGCTTTCAGAACAGCAGAAAAGGAAATTAAATACGCTTCTGGATGAAAAGAAGTTGGAAAGCCTGTATGTAAAGCTTAAGAAGAATGAAGACAAATTAACTTTATATGGTTTACCAAACTATGTTCATGCTGCTGAAAAGCACATTATGTACCTTCTCAATGCTGAAGAGCCTTCAGAAACTAAAAAAAGGACACCACTGCCCTCTGATCTCAACAACCAAGAAGCTTCAGGAGTGTGGGAGAAATACGGTGCCAGGGAAAAGAGTAGTTATTCTTCCATGGAACAGGCTAAGGCAAAGACAGAAGACACCGATGATACGTGCCCTATTTGCATGGAGAAAATTAATAATAAAGAGATCCTGACAAAGTGCAAACATGCGTTTTGCAAAAGTTGCATCAAAATGGCTTTGGAATACAAGCAAACTTGTCCTGTTTGTAATACTGTCTATGGAGTCATGCAAGGAGATCAACCAGAGGGAAGAATGCAGTATAAAAGGATTTCTACACCTCTCCCTGGCTATCCCGGTTGTGGTACTATCGAGATTGAATATGTTATGCAGAGCGGTATTCAAACTGTAAGTATATTTGAAGATTCATGAAGTATACTTTCCCCCCAGCAAAACCAGTGCTGAGTGCAAAATTCAGTGTTTTTCCATCATATCTGAGCTGGAGAGACATTACTGTCTTCCGTACAAGTCTGCAAGTATGTAGTTCTGTAATTTTGAGTGCAATGAAGTCATGTTGTAGGGATTGCACTGGTAGCCCTCCATTTTGTATGTGGCAGGAATGAGATACCTGTCTGAAAACTGTGTATTCAGAATAACTGCACTGAAATCTATGGAGCAGTATCATGTAAGTCACGTTGCGTCCTGAATGCATCAAAGATGGAGATAGAAAGTGCTGTAAAAGCTGGGATTGCAGTTGCCACACTTGCAGAGAATTTGTGATATACAAAGTGTTTTTCTTTTGTTTTTCTACAAAACAGCAGAACCATCCAAACCCAGGGAAACCTTATGGTGGAATTATTCGGAAGGCATATTTGCCTGACAATGAGGAAGGGGTGAAAGTTCTGCAGCTCCTCAGAAGAGCCTTTAACCAAAAACTGATTTTCACAGTGGGGAATTCACGTACTACTGGTGCAGAAGATGTTATCACATGGAATGATATTCACCACAAAACCTCCATGTATGGTGGACCTGTGAAGTAAGTAGTCTTCTTGTTCAGTTATTATAGAACTTGTCAGTGGTAGCAGGAAGGCTTCCCTGTATATTTTCTACACTATACCTTTCAGATTGCCAATGGCCCTGCAAGCCACTAGCAAATCTTATCAGTTGTGGATTATTACTTATGCAGTGATTGTGGAAGTACTGTGGATCCAGACTTGAACCATTTTCATAGCCTTTATAATGCTTTGTCAATGATTTACAGCTCGCTTCTGTGACTAATTGGGGTGGGGCACCCACAGACCCACGCCCCAGGAGAAGGGGAAAGGGAAGAAAGGCAAAAGGTATGAAGATGGGCCTGAAAATAGAACAGTGGCAATGAGCTAAGGGAAAAAACTTATTGACTGAATATGGTAGAATGCAAGATAACACAATAATACAATATAATTGGAATTGAGGTTAATAAAGAAAATGAGAGAGTGTCCAAAACCGAAGGCCTTACCCTAATGCTGAAGGCAAGATGGCTAAGGGAGCACACACTGCAGAGAAGAGCAGTAAGAGACGTCCTGTGACTTGTGAGCGGTTTTACCTTACCCTCTAAATGGAAAAAGGAACGGTGAAAGTCTTCTGGGAGATGTAGTTCTTCTCTTCTGAGAACCAAGTGCCCAGAAATACCAACAGTCGATGCAACTGGAGCATTAACTCTTTAACTCCCAGTGCTCTACGTGATGTTACAGTATGGAATACTGATAACAAAAAATCATAAAACCATGATGTGCTTCTGGTTTAGTTTAATTCTGTTGCTTATAAAAACAGGCACTGGAGCACAGCTATCTGTTGAACCTGGCGGTGGTGAGAAAGCACAGGAACAAATTATCTCTGGAAGGAAAATAGATGTAACAGTCCTATGTCCCTCAAGCATGTCTCAGAAAGAACCATTCCTTGATGGTTACTTTCTGCCTTTAAGTCTTTCTGTCTTAACCATTTCCATGGAGAGAAATATTGGCAGTGTATGATCTGGTGCTTTTTTTGTGCACAACAGTGAACACTTTGGTAAAATATTGGTTCATTTTGTAGTAACGCGCAAACCTGCATGTCAAAACTGGGCATGTTTTAGTACTGAGAGCATAAATATGTCGCTTTCACATCTCAGGCTCCAGCCTGGAGATGAGAGGGAGGTTTGGAACAGTCTCTTCAGGGTTGTTACAGCCTCTCAGAGCCAGGTGTCTTCCTGCAAGATCTAAAGATTTGTGCTTGGAGTTACATTCTCCCTCCTGGGTGAGGATCATTAAAGAACAATAAGTTTTGCTTTATCCCCCACTCTGCTCATTGCTCTCTTCTTTCTTATCACCTGCTTCATACACACGTTTGCTGGTAAGCCATCTGAAAAGCAGAGGTGCCATTATGTTTGCCTTTTGAAGTTTCACACGGAGACCCCTTCTGTTAAAACCTGTTCTTAAGAAAAGTGCATACCCAAATGCCCAGTCATTTGCTAGTGAGACAGCTGGCGGCATAGAAAGTGAGGCTCCTAGGGTCAGCTTGGGCAGCCAAATTCAGCAACTGTTTTGTTTTTAGTAAGCTTTTAGCTTTACTCTTTCTGTACCATTTATCTCACTTGTAACATGGAGTCTGTCTTCTCTATAGTGAGAAGCACATGCATAAAACTTGTGAATTATTTTAAGACATTCTGATGAGCAAGTTTTGTAGAACTGCCAAGTGCCTCACTGTACAGGTATCCCAAATTATTCTTTTCTTCTTCTAGTTTTGGTTACCCTGACCCTGATTATCTGAAGAGGGTTCGATCAGAACTGAAAGCAAGAGGAATTGAGTAAGGAAATGTACCAGCTGTCAACTCTGAAGTGTGATAACTCAACATGCAGCAGTTCTTTTACTGTTCTGGCACTACAAAGAGAGAAGTTGGTCTGTTCAACTGCTATACTTAAGTTACTTGTATTTCCCTGTGAGCTAAGAAAGTAATCTTTTCTGGTCAAACTATGTTTGTTCCCTTTGTACGACTTGCTTCTGTGAACAATGCTTCCCTATATGTACTTCCTCCCTTACAGAATTCGGGACCTGTGAGTCCAGCATCGTACTTGCACTCATCAGACAGCAGGTTGTGTGTTGTCTTCTCATTTTACCAGTGAATCTGATCTGCAGTTTTTCCCACAAGCCTTCAGCCTACGTGCTGGAGGATTTTTATGTGTGTGATGCAGTATCAGCTGTACATGGCCATCATCTTTTGCTGCTTTTTCTTTCCAGGGTAGAAATGGCATTAGTGGTGTGGCACTGAGAATGGTGTGTGATAGACTTTTTGTTTGCTGCTGTGTTGTTAACTGTGTCCAAAAAATGCTGAATGCTCGGAGAGCCTCCTTGCAACAAAAGGAAAGTGACAGTGCTTATGGCCAGCTCTGGTAATGAGCTTCTGACTCTGTGCCTCTTATTGTATTTAGGCTTAAACATCGCTTTTAAGTCAGCTTTGCGTGTAACAACACTGTTCTTCGCATTGCTTCCAACAAATGGTTTAAATTCTGTAATAAAAATATAATGCCATTATTGTTGCTGTTTGAGTAGGCTGCCAGTTGCCTTTGTGCTGGTGGAAGACAGGTTTTACCTGAGTAGCCGTAGTTTTTAATGAATCTAACTATTTGTCTAGGCCATTGTGTGTAATAAATAAAATTACCACCTGCTGACTGTTGCGTTCTTCAGTGGAATATATCCCTCCTCTTTTAGAGGCATTTTGTTATACATATATATTATTTAGGAGCTTCCTAGCAAACAAAGTGATTTGGACCATTCTGTCTGTGGCTGAGAGCCAGCAGAGGAGGAAGAGTTCTCTCAGAGGAAGTTGCCAAGCCTTTTTAGAATCACAGAATCATTAAGGTTGGAAAAGATCTCTAAGATCACCCAGTCTGTTGCATGCATGTTAGAACAATAACGGGTGTTTGTGCTGTGCTTGTTGCTTCTGGTGTATTAATGTCAGTTGGGCTGTGTTAAGCCCACCGAACTGGGTGAAGAACATTCAGAAATGGAGCAGTTGGATATGGAACAGAGCCCCAAATGTTCTCCTCCGGGATGCATTTTAAACCTCTGGTAAAAGTTTGGAGGAGGTCTGCTTACATGTAGAAAATTGAGTGTTGTAATCATTGGTGGACGGTGTATAGGCTTGAAGATGAGGAAAAACGGCCCACTCATGGGTTGATTAATGATAACACAGTGTTGCAGTTGATGCTATTCTGTAGAAAGGAAGGGAAATGGGACGAGGTCCCCCACGTGGATTTATTCTTTGAATTAAGAAATCACATGAAGGCTCTCAAGGACTGTGGGTTACTTTCAAGAGACCCTTCAGCAGCAGTGTGGGAGAAGGAGCAGCCGAGGGCTCTGAGGAAACGCTGTTTTGCAGGTAGCGCTGGGGAAACGTGTATTAGACGGGCACCCGGCAAAGGGTTGGAATTGTTGCTGAGTCCATCCAGAGTAACTTCTGGGAAATGGAGGGGAGATGACCGCAGCCGAGAGGCCGAGGACGGGTCGAGGAAAAGCGCCATCGTGCGGGGAGGGGGAGGAACTGCGCCTCCAGCAGGCTGAAATGCACTACCCCAAAAGCTGAGCGTCTGGACAGTGCTGAACATGCGGAAGTTATACCAAGCAGTAGAAAGTAAAGACAGAACCCCTCTGCCTTTTCGATGGATTTATAAACGTAGCTAGAAAACATACCGATTTGGATCCAGAAGCAGAGAGGGGAGCTATGCAATTGGCATGAATTTTTATTGGTCATATTAAGTGAAAATTACATTAAATGGAGGGGGAGGACTATCCTAAATCAACTGCTAGAAGCTGCCTGGAAGGTGTGTCACAACAGAGAGAAGGTGGAGAAGGCTAAGGAAAGGAAGGAGAAAGGAAGTTGTTAGTGGGGCCAGAGCACAGGTCACGGAAGGTGAGAAGGGATCAGTGTTTTAGGAGGCAGCCTGGACCCGGGATGAAGAAGCCAGGTCCTCAATGTGTGTGTTTGGAATATGGATACTGGAAAATGGAGTGCCCAGAGCAGGCACTGCTAAGGCAGAGCACCCAGGGTCCTGAGCAGGGTCCTGAGCCTCACCCTGCAGTTTAACTTGAGGACTCTGTGAGAATTGGTGGGGATCGAGGGTTTAGAAATAGCCCCGCTATTTGTGAGAACCAATTAGCAAAAGAATTGGAGGCCTGGCAGGAGAAACACGAGGGAGTGACCTTCTTGGAGTAGTATGTGGGATCTGCAATATTCCCTATGGACTATTCGTTAGGTAGAGAGGAATGATCAGTTTGAAAATGCACCTGAGACCCCTTGTCTTACTGTAAGGGCAAAGATGTCATTAGGAAGGGTTCTATCTTCTCACTGCAGGTTTGGACAACACACAGAGCTATGCAAATGGCCAGGTTGGTATTGTGGATTTCCTTACACAAGGGTAAAGAAGGCACCTAGCCCACAGAGGCAAGTGGAACAGCCCGTGCTGCTGAGGCTTACATGCAGATGAACACGCTTTGCCCCTGAATGATGGGAATCGAGATTACCTTTCTTTAGTTTGTGATATTGTCCATTATATAATCGCTTGTTGGAGATCTGGACTGTGATTGTAAATATGATGTGTGACAGTGGTTCTAGCTGTACTGACCACAATGCTGAATGCCAGTATCCATTAGCAGGGCTCCCTATTTGCTCCGATGGTTCTGGGAGTAAAGTGTAGGGAAACTCTGCTGATAGACGACGCTGGCGTTGTCTACCAAAAATGAGATCCAAAATACCAAAATTTTCCTGGATGTGGGGATGTAACCCGCGGGATGGGCGGAGCAGGGCGGTTCCGCTCTCCCTGGCGGAGAAACGAAAGCGAAAGCGGTGCGGCGGAGAGGCAGCGCAGCCATGGCGGGGCCGCGGCCGGGCTCCTTCCCGCTGCTGGTCCGCGGGGATTGGGGCACCGCGGAGCCACCGGCCGCGCTGCGCAAGAAGCTGCTGCTCTACTTCCAGAGCCCGAAGCGCTCGGGCGGCGGCGAGTGCGAGCTGCGGGGGGGACCCGGGCAGCTGCTCGTCTGCTTCGCCCAACCCGACGGTGAGCCAGGATGGAAGGGGGGGGGCTGTGGCCGCAGCGGTGCCGGCCGTGTGGCGGCAGCCCCCCACTGACGGGTGCGTGCTGTGTCCGCAGTGATGCGGCGGGTGCTGGACCGGCCGGCGCACGAACTCGAGTGGGGACCCCGCGGGAAGCTGTCGCTGCTCGTCACCGCGCCGCCGCAGGAGGGCGCCCGTTCCCCGCAGCAGCCGCCCGCTGAGCCCGAGACGCCAGGTAAGCGGCGGGGCGGGGGTCCCTCGGAGCTCGGTGCTGCGTGACGGTCGCCTCTCGCCCGCCGCCCCCCTCCTTCCTGCCGGGGCTCCGCGAGCTCAGAGGGCGCTCCTACAGCCGCGTGGTTGGAAAAACAGGCAAAATATTTCAGCCTGTGACTTTGCCTGGGTGAAAAAAAAGCTCTGGAGTACGCGCACTGAGCTTTCTCTTCGTCACTTACGCAGCGGCTGAGAGTGCGCTGTTATCTGCAGCTGACGAACCCGTGCCCTCTGTGCCCGCCCTCGCGGAGCACGATGCCGCCGCGGCCGCAGGATCGGGGCTGTCGCCACAGCGCCCACCGCCTCAGGAAGCGCCTCCGGAGGGGCACGGTGAGTGTTAAGGATACCCGTACAAGGACCTTCCCGGCTGCAGCCAGCAGCACCTCCTCCGTGGGGCAGCGTGAAGACTCTGTCCCACCTTGGTTTGTTCTTCAGGGGAGGCTGAGCTGCGTAGATCACAGAGTTGTTTTCATCCTGATGCAAACTTTTGATGCAATTTTGCCTCATTTGTGTTTCTTCTTCCATATGAGGAAAATATGTCAAAGTTTCCTGCCCAGGGTGGGAAGAAGGGGAAAATGGCATTTTTCTTGTTTGTTTCTGCACGGAGCTAGGTGCCCAAGAAGCCTCGCAGTGGGAGCATCCATCAGCTGAGAAAACCGAGCTGGTTGTGGAGCCTGGTCAGATGGAGGCTGCCCCAGAACCGTGGCAAATGGAAAGCTCTGAAGCATCCCTTCGTTCCCCCTTAATTGTGCTTGAAAACGTACGGGAAACCATAAGCAGTTTCATGTTAACCATGCTGGTGGAGAACATCAGTGACTTGTCAGAGGAAGATGGTGACTTCACTGTGGAAATGATTCCTGAACTGCGGGCTGCTGTTGTTGCTTTTACTGGAAATGCTGGTAAGGAGGAATCTGGATTATGAGTAATTATGAGTTTTTCTTGCCTTGCTGCTTTTGTGTTCGTAGGAGGGAGTCCGAGTGGGAAGCAAACAATGTCTCCTCTCATGGGCTTAAGGAAAAGTCTCATATAGACTCTTATAGACCCAGCCCTCATTTCAAGGGATGCAATCAATGAGGTCTTTTATCTGTAAGGTATAAAGGCCAGTGAAAATAATGAATAGAATATGGGTGGGGCTGAAAGTCAGCTGTGTACAAGCCGTTAGAGGATATGGTGGGTCGTAGAACAGATCAGTGATAAAGGTTCTACTTGCCATAGTGTGTTGTGTGTAATAAGTTTGCATGGATTCAAGAGAAAACTGAACTGGTTAGGACAGAACCTTGTAAACACCACATCAGGCCTGCAGAACCTACTGTACTACAAATTGGTTGGAGGTATGGAGAGAATTAGGGAAGCAGTAGCATCTTAAAGCTGTTCCCCAGATGCCTGCTGTGGAATTAAACCACATACCTGATGCTGCAACACCAACTAGTTGTGGAGCAAGTGCATGCTCATCATGATTTGTTATTGTTTATTTGTTATTTGTTATTTGTTTTCTTTTTCTGCTTTATTGGTGATCGATGATGCAGGCATCATCCAGGTGAGAGAGGGATTTGTCTGCCTCTGCTTCTCACCAGAGAGAAACTGAGGGGTGTCCTTGTTCCTGCCAAGACTTATGGGTATTGTTATTTATATGGGCTTCAGTAAGTGGTACAGTGAGACTCAGAAAAGCTGTAAGCCAGCACCATGGCTGATGATGATGATGATGTGGAGGAAATAGACCTTTGTTTTCAGAAGAAACTGATTAAATTGACAGCAGGAAACTGATTGCATCTGTGACTGATGCTCTGCTTGAGCCCTTAGAAGAACACAGTGATTTGGGTTGAGGAGAGGTCAGGGTGGAAAGAAAGAAAACATTTTTCTGTGCAGAAAAGACTGAATGTCTCTCTAGAAGGCAGGATGTGATGAAAAGAAGTGATATGTGAGTCTCCATCAATTTTGTGGGAATGGCTGTAGTACTAGTAACACGTAGGAATGGAGTTGCTCTGAAATCTTGAAGTTGTCAAAGAATTAGTCAGTGGCATAACTAACCAAATAAGCTTTTCATCTTTGAAAAGCTCATATAGTTTTCTGTTGTAGAAGATAGAAAGGATTTGCCTGTTTTCCTGGCCCATTCCCAAATTTTTGGTGTAGACTTGAGAAAATATGTGGATCCTTTAAAACACTTAGATACGTGTTTGCCTGACCGACCTAGAAGTGGCTAGCCTGGTTTTTAGCATGATGATAACAGGGTGGGAAATAGCAAAAGCATAGAACGAATTTATCATAAAACTGAAAGAACCAATATTTAAACCCAACTTCCTTCTGACTGTGTATTAATGAATTTGAATTTCACTTTCTTTTGGGGTT